ACACACACACACACACACACACACACACACGTTAGTGTGTGGTTGCAGATTTCAATGACACACTTACAATTCTCCTCTAATGCTCTCTTGACATTTTAGTCAGATTTTTCTGTGTGGTATGTGAGAACGTGTTGTTTGCGTTCTCACATACAGCCCCTCTGGATAACGCAGTATCTCTGAAAGCAGCTTTAATGTGATCTTACCGAACCTCCACCGGCCCATGTAGTAGAGCTGTGTGCTGAGGAGGAGAGTGGCCAGAATGTGTATCACTGAGAAAACGATCCAGAACACTGTGTTTCCCTTCCCGAATACCTGCAAACAAACCACAAACCATTATTATGAAATATGTTTGTTATGCACAATAACCATTATGAACAAAAAACATTAATTAAAAACAATTATAACAGTTTTTGGTGTGTGTACTTACCACTCCTAGCACAGAGAAGAAGATGACCGCAGCCAGGCATGCATAAGCAGTGTAAGCACTTGCATTGATGTCTGGGTGTCTCTTCTGATACAGCTTCAACATACACAGCCCGGCTATCATGTACATGAAGGAGGTGTCTGCAAAAACGGAAAGGGATATTACCACACATTTACTGCTTAATCATACTAAACAATAAAAGCATGAGAAGGAAGTCGTTGCAGATGGTTATCACTGAATTACAGCTCTGATTTACTGTCTTCATTTCAAATGAGCGGCTTTAACTTTCAGAGTGATTGTTTTACATTCACAGGCTGTCTGATGAGCACATTTTACAATTACACTCCATAAATGTCATAACCAGAGGGATCCTTTGCATGTGGGCCTGAGCACAATAAATTAAAAGACTATTTCCGACACCATAAATCTTTACAGACCAGACAGCTCAGAGAAACTACACCCTGCACCGTTTCTCAGGATGACAGTGTTCTCCCTCTGCAGTATGCAAAACTCTGTGGTGCCGTAGTATCCTGCAGGAGTGTCCTCCCTCCCCAATCCCCCACCCTGCGCTCACTTTGCACTCTAACAATAAACATACCTCACTAATGAGAAGGTATTAGGACCTTTCCTTCACTAGAAGTTTATTTTGTTTGTTTGTTTGATCCACTCTAGAATTAATGAGACACATATTTCCCCAAATTCCAAGATTTTACACATTTTACCTGCCACACCCAATATGAGACGAGCATAGCCAGGAAATTGGGCTTAAAATGATCACAAAACACAGTGTCCCTTTGCCCCTACTGCTTAAAAAAAATCCTAGAGGAAACACTTGTCCTCTATTGTTTTTGTACAACGGCAAATAAAAGGAAAGAGAGGCGCACACTTACCAAACTGGAAGTTGGTGTAGTTGGGACAGACGTGGTAGCAGGCACTGAGCAAGCCCTCCATCATTAGTGCAGTTCCCATGGCATAAAACAGACCAAAGTGTTTTGGGATACCACATTCCTGGGGAGGGGGTGAAAGAGAGGACATTAAAGTAAAAGTACAGTGTGTATCTGGATGTGCTTGTTTCGTTTCTCTTCTAATTTACTTAATGATCAGTAACATAACATTACAATATAATTGTCTCCTTGCAAACATGGGCCTTACCAGAGCGTTGAGGTCGTTGCGGACCAGAGCACGATTGTGGACAATATCTCTCTTGAGGACGATAAGAAGGAAGAGGAGTCCCAGCATCACGTAACCAAGGTTACTGAGTATGTTGTTGAATGCACTGCGTAGGACGATAAATGATATAAGTTAACACGAGCATGCCATCCTTCAGCCATTTTGTGCAGTAATAAATAATTCATACATTTTCAACAGCCATGCTAACTCCATACCTTAGAGCTCCCAGGGGGTGGGCACACAGGAAGTTGTAGTAACATATGTCCTGGTTTCCTGTGACATTAACAACCTGCAGAAGAAAGAGTCAGTTTAATATCCACGTACGGTGTAAGTCAATGTGACGATGTTTTCTTACAAAAGATATGAAACACAAGCTTCTCGTACCGTTTGATAGGTGATGACCAGCTGGATGACTGGCAGGGCGTAGAAC